ACTCAAAAAAATTAGCCACAGCAGTTAGAGTATCATATAAATAGCGGAATTTCAGCTCACTTAAAGATTAAATTATGCAACGACCCCAAAATGCCAGAGGAAAAACACAGAATAAGGCAAGCCGATGGAGAAAATGATAATTCCAGCTTCATTCTAATTAGTCACTAAGTCCAGTGCTATTAATTAGAAGAGTAATAATGTTTTCTAAATAACTTGACTTATGTAAAATAATTAAGTATAAAATTAATATAAATATGGATTTGTTACTTATGAAATGTAAACTTCCTAATGAACGAGATGTACGATATCCTTACGTATGACTACTGTTAAATCTATGACGCATAAACGTCTGACTGTCACATCACGAGTTGTTTTTTTTGGTGCTGAGGAAGAACTTTGCATATTGATACAAAAATACTTGAAGTAATATGAAATTTATCAACCGACTGTTTATCTAATAAACAGTTTAAAGTAGTTATTCAATCACTAAACTTGATGAAATAATCCATAATATCTATTAATGCAGATCTTTTTTTACAGAATTATTAAAGATCTCTGTAAGTATATCAGTGATTATCTAACTGGAACCTCCAAGATGAACGGTTCAGTGTAAATGTATGAAACTATATAATTCTTTAAAAATTTCATTTACTCGACGTTATAGAACTTCCATCATCTATTGCTTGAACCTATTAAGATTCATTTAGATAAACTGTCATATATCAATCAAATTCTTTACTAAATTTCTCTTCATATTTATTCATCCATTGTAGTACTTTTACATAACTTAAATATTATTTACCATACGTAAAGATGATATAAATCGATTACAAAAAAGAAAAAAACAAACGAAACAATTCCGATACATTCTAAACGTAGTTGATTTTCTGTAATCAATAACTATCATATAGTATATGTATGAATGTGGTAAATGTTCCAGTTCTAAGCACATTCCTCATCTTTATTGATTTATACACTATAATGGAATAAAATTAAGTCACTAATCAATTAAACTACATACAGATTTATTCTACTTTATAATGTAAGCAGGAAAATCATTAATCACTAAGCAATTAAATATGATAATTACTATTGTGCTTGTTTTTTATGTATCACCATATATCAAATTAACCATAAAAGAAACAAATAACATATCACCATATTCATCAAATGGAGTAATTTTTCTTCGTTTTTTTAAAATTTCACCGAGGTTTCTGACAAAGAACAAAGAGTATATTTGTTACCATGTGGATTCAAGTACTTTTTTAATGATTTTTTTCTTCTAAATCATTAACTTATGTCATTTTAAAAAATTGATTTTAATTTTTAAAAAAAACTCATATGATCAAATGGTTTATTGAGTTATGGAGTAATGAATTAAATTACACTAGATCATACAATTGCATCAAAGGCATTTGTTAAGTACGTATTGTTAATACAAAAGTACCTAAATGTGATTACTTTTGAACACTTCCATTGAATGTAAATGTTATGATTTCTATTAAATATATAAGAAAGTTGTTTGACAATTTAAAAATAGTCGTATTATTTTGTCACGTATTAGAGAAAGTATTTATTATTGTAGTTTTTGCTACTGATGTTGACAGATATAAGCAGTATGTATCATTAATCGAAAGTGAAATGACTGGAGATAAAAGGTTAAAAAGATTGAAGAAAAGAGATCGAGAACAATGAATGATTGCTGTGGAGATGAAAGAAGAGTGAAATCTGATTGATATTTTGCAAATGAAGTATTTAATGTATGGTTCTCAGATTGTAGTAAGATGTTATGTAATTTTATAACTAAATATATTCAGTTGTCCTCACTTATGTTCTCGTTCACTACATTATCAAGTTTTCAAATGATCTGTGTTCCATCGATACTCCAAACTCTATAGGCTTATCGATAGGACTTCAGCATTGGTGTGACACATTCTAGTCCAGAAGTATTTTCATATCACTACATTAACTATAAACTTTAATTAAATAAACATTTTCCGCAACAATAAAAACGGAATAGTAGACTACAAACACTGTCTTACATGTATTTGTATTTGTATATATATATATATATATATATATATATATATATATATATATATATATATATATATATATATATATATATATATATGATATAAAAAATCATTTCAGTGATCAAATTTTTAATTGTCTGACAAGTCATAATGATTGGTTTTTCTGCCACAAATGCCCTGGTATGTCCGAGAGTGGGGTGGGCCCTCCCTCACATGGCCACGCGTATACAGCCTCTAGCAGGGAAGTCCTACTCACTGCCTTCTCGTGGCGGGGGTATTGTTTACGGAAATTAGAGGACGAAAAGCGGATGTCCGGCGCTTTACCGGACCCCAAACCAATGGTGCACATGAGCTCCAGTATCCTGTGGGAACATTTGGCGTATGAACCAATTGTTGGTCACCGGCTTCCATGGGACTGCATCTCCTTCCGATGCTCCACTGCCTAGTGGGTCAGACCTTCAGGTCAAAGGCTCGGGGTGTGGCCCCCTAAGAAAACCACCTGCTTCGGTCTGGGCACCCAGGCAGTATCACAGCCTACACACAAATATGATGAAATGTTGTAGCGCGTATATATTTGGTGTCCACTCGTTCCAATATTTATGTGTTCCAATAAAACTAAATAACTAAATTGATTTTTCTACCTTTAAACCTACTTATAAATCAGTACGGTTAGATCTAATTGTCCATTTTTAACATAACCTTCAATATTACCAATAATTTCATATAGATTAATCTCTTTAACAATAGAACTATGAATGAGTGTATGATTTCTTGAATAATATACTTAACGACGGTAATACATGCTATTTTTCATCTATGATCACACATTTACTTTCAATTCTTCATAATAATAAAAATCATACTTCTTTACTGTTGAGTGTGTTTTACAAATTTCTTATAATAAATCAAGACAATTAGAAATAATGCTTTCTAGTTATTAATTTTTAAAAAAATTGTATAATAATCATTTAGTTCAGCAATCATTTGGATAACAATGATGATCTTTGTATCATAATGATTATTACCGTTTAATTATTCCGAATGAGATAGAGTTTCACTAAATAGTTTTTTCTGTATATAATGTCACATGATTGCATTTTTACTGTTCCAATACTTTTTAATAGAATTAATTTATGAAACACTTTTTGATCACTTCCAAATGAATGTAACCCCTAGAATTTATTCATTTACTTCACAAGTGAACTTCTCTGTCTTCTGTTATCACAATTATCATAAACTCATAGTCGTAGATAGTTAATTGTGCGAACAAACGTTATATAAGGTTATAATAAATTCTGATGATAAGCTTTTACGAAATGATCCATTCACAAAATTGGTGAAACTATCTTAACCAACATATATGAATATAGTAATTGTCAAAGTATGAAGCTTTGTGGATGTTAGTTAAAATTGAGAGTAATCTTTGTTGTAGGTTTATTTTAGCTGGTGAATCAATAAAAATAATTTCAAAGTGTATCTATAGTTCTTACGAACACTCGTTGTTGAAGAGTTTCAAAACTGTAACAAAACAACTATTTACTCCAAATCTTTTGTTAGGCTTGTTAAATGGAACATATCAATATCGAATTACTGATATCTATCTATCTATCTATCTATTTATCTATCTATCTATATATATATATATCTATATATATATATATATATATATATATATATATATATATATATATATATATATATATGTTTATCTGCGGTGTCATAAGTTAGAACATAATACATTTAATTATTAATAAAATGCATTACCATTGCTTTGTCGAGTAATTTTCAATCATAGCACTGCTTTTGAGCTCTAAAACATACAAAGTGATTAGCTGCGTTTCCCTAGAGCATGTAATTCACATTATAAAAACAAAATGTAAAGATTTGCTTAAGATAAGGTTTTAAAACCCATAATTAGTTCAACTTAATGACTTACTCTATATTATTTCCAATAAAATTGACTTATCCAAAAGTGATGTTTGCTTATTTTGCGTTCCCTCAGTTTATAGTTTATTATGACGACAAAAATTTCTAATAATAGTTTCCTCCATATTGTATGACCTTTTACTTGAAAAACACTCCCAATCAATAATTAAATTCCTTTACTGAATTACTTTCAATAACTTATTTAGCACAGACAGAAACACTGAAGTTGAATTGTAAATCACTAATCTTCAACTACAGTAATTACCTTGCACCTTAAAAATCCTGTACTCATATATATATAACGCTGAAGTTTCATACTACTCCAGAGTTCTCAATCAAAACGAAACAGATCTCTAGTGTTCACTGGCTATCAAAGATTCATTGTCGATTATTATAAGATATAACCAACCCTATCATCAAGTAAACTCATCTTTATAAAACAATAGTTCAAACTGTATTTTATTTTATGCTTGAATTTTATTTGAAACCAACTGACATCATAAAACCAGTACATTTTTAAAGCTCAAACTGTTTCATTTTCACAAACATTCCAACAATCACTTAAGTAAATACAAAATCATTGAATAAGCGTCTCCGATAAAAAAGTGAAGCGGAAATTTTGCAATATATAAACAGTTGTACTAGTAAATTACCTGTTTTGAGCAACATGTAACATGTGAAATGCTCATTCACAATTTCATTGTAACTATTGTTCAAATTCAGTACGTTTATGATATAGCTAATGAGTATTCTCATTTCACTAATGATATATTTTTCATTCTAGACATCACTTATCTTCACTATTCATGAAAACTCACTTTAGAATCGTTAGAATCTATCATCAAGCAGAAAACATTTAATCACTACTAATCTAGTATTTCTCTATTACTTAAAGATTTATCAGCATTCAGTACCAAAAATCTGACATAAAAATTGAACAAAAATAATTTAAGTGTCATGGTGATGATTATAATTCCATTTATTAACTCTAACCGATAAGTCTATCCATTAAAATGTGGCAAATCAAAAAGAAAACTATGAGAAAAGAAAATACATTTTATTATTTAAAAACAAAACCAAAAAAAACGGATCCTTTTTCAACTCCTTAATTGATCAAACTTATTGACAAATTGATTTATATTAGATGAAACGTAATTAAAATGAATAACTTGAATAATTGACTAATCTATATAATTTCCCAATACAATAGTAATAAAGTGTTTAAATCACTAAACATTATTCAATGAATTGGCTACATATTTGAGATGTTTCAAAATGTAGAAATAAATGAATGGCTAATATTAGAAAACCGGAAAAAAAAACAAAGAACAATTAGGTTACGTAATAATGTTGGTAAGAAACAGTGATAAATATATGTAGCTATGAAATAATGGTGAAAAATACAACAACAAAAAACAAATTGATTATTCAACTAGGAATGTATTACAAGATTAGTTGTGTAAAATTAAACCATAACATACTGAAGCTTATTCAGAAGAGTTTAAAAAGACAAAAATTGAATAAAGAATCATGTTTAGTGAATATATATTCTGTTCAGTTTAGTTAATAATTTAATTATCAGAGATTATTTCAGTTGTCTTGCTACAAACATATAAATAGGACCAATGTCATTGATTCGAGGACCTCTTATATAATCCGTCTGTAATAATATCAACGATTTATGCCAGGTTTTATTACTATTATTATTGTTATATTCACCATCTGGATTATAGACACTATTCAACTTTTGTAATAATTCCATTGAAATATCAGAATATTTAGATGGTGAATTTGAAGTGATAGCTTGTTTTTGAATCAATTCATTAGAATGTTCTTCATAAATATTTGTAGTGACACCAGTAAATTTAGTTCTAGATAATGATTTATTCAATGGTAATAATGATTGCCTTTTAATATTACTCATATATTTTTCATTATTATAATGAATATTACTTTCATATATAGAAGGATTGATATTACTAGTAGTATTCATAGTTCTATCATAAATTAAACAACATTGTAATCCAATAGATACTTTTGGATATTTTAATTCATCTCTTAATAAAAATTCTTTATCATTTAATGCTTTCTGTAATAAGATATAAAGCATTTTAACATCTTGTGATAATTTACATTTATAGACTTCATAAATTTTACATTTAGCTTTATCATATTCTATACATAATATAAATGTATATGGTTTACTTTCAGAGATATATATACATTTAATATGTTTATATAATAGAAATTTTCTTGGTGGATTTGAACCGCATTGTTTTGATTTTTCAAAACGTATTTGATCTTGTAAACAATATAAATTACAATGAGCTAAACGTTTATTTAAATTATTTTCAATTAAATATTCTGCTTTATCTTTAGTCAATTCATCATTTATATTCATTTGTTTACTTTTTAATATACATATATGACAAATATAATAAACTGATTGTTTTGTTTTTTTATCCAATTTTAATTGATTTAATGAATAGGTACTTAATTCATCATAGTTACAAATATGTTGTAAACTAAGACTTTTACTACGATTATCTGACATATTATTATTGAATAGTCTAATGTTGATATAATATCCAATGAATATAGAATTGTTATTGTTGTTTTTTAAATGTACAATTTGAACAATTCAAAATTTGGTTTGATCCTATCTATCTATCTATATATAATTAATATTACATTAATGAATTGAAATTATATACGTTGGTATATGTGTTCAGTGTTCATTTGTATATACATATGATTTTAATAATGGGACAATACAATTGTAATATAATGTCCAACAAATTAATTTTCTTAAATCTAATCTGATTGGATTCTTATTCTGTTCGATACATTTCAATTGTGCATATATATTTCAATGTAAAGTATGAAATTAAATGATCAATTATTCTATTGTTCAATTTTGATTAAAGTATTCAATGTAAAATTGAAAATGTAACACATACAAAAAAGATCTTTTCACAAAAAAAAACACCAAAAAAAAGGAACAACATCTTTTGTAATCATTATGCAATGGTACTAAAATGAGTTCATTGCAATGAAATTTGATACATTTATTTGAAAAACATAAATTTTATTGTATTTAGAACATTCTATGTTTTTCCTAACACCTTTTTTTCTTTTTTGTTGGTTGTATCTTTTTTTTTGATTAAATATATTATAATCAATAAATAATGGTGATTATGGGTATGGTGAAACGTGATATACAAAAAATCAACGAAAAATTTGAAGATGATATGCTTATTGGATAAATATAATTTTTTTATATTAGAAAGGTTTTTGTGGATATTATAGTAATTTCAATGGTTGAAATCGCGAGATGGTATCATGGATGCTCACTGCTGAAGAGTCCTACAATAAGACAGGATGTTCATCCAGTGCTTCCAGGTTTTCCATGGTGGTCTAGCTTCAATCGACTCATAATCTCAATCATTGAAAATTATAATTTTATTTCGATAACAATATATATCAATTTCATATATATATAGTTATATGGAAAATGTATGTCTATAGAAGGATAGATAAGATTGTGTCGTAAAGTGATTCGAGACTAAATATCAAATGAAGTTGCGTACTAATCAAGGGGTAAGTAAGAAAATACTTTATGAGTCAGATAATAATCTAATTGAAAGATATGAAGATGATGCATATCATGCGATCTTTTCTATCCTTCTATAGACATATAATTTCCATATAACTATATATACGAATGTACAGCTTAAATAAATGAGTTCATCAAAAAGGAAATTTTTTCGCTGAATTCTTCTTTCATATTCACTGACACTATGGGTTATTTTAAATATCAAGTTGTCTTATTCACCTAGCTATTTGATGTAATCAAAATTTAGAACATCATATATAAGCGAACAATACTGACACATAAACTACCTTGGTTAGTTTAATGAATTTGTATATGCATATAAATGTTACTGTGCATTAGAGTGAAGCCTGATGAGGATCTAATCGAAAACAATATTGTTCGCTTATTCTAAATCGTGATCACAATTATATTACTTAACAGTCAGTAAAGTGTTTTTTGTATATACCATATTAATCAGTATCTCATTTTCTAGATATTGGAAGAATATATTAATGAATATATTAAGTTTAAACAAAACGTTTAACTCTGAAATGAGTGATATAATCAAACTACAGCTTTATGTCTGGAAATATATTCTTCCTTGAATGTCATTGAAAAAATGAAAAAGTATAGTATTTAACGCTTTTTATCCCTCCAATGAATCCACCAAACATCGAAGCAGCACACACAGATCTTCCTATAGATGTCAACCCATCAACGACGGAAGAAATTAGAATGGCCGTCAGACAAATCAAGAGCGGGAAAGCAGCAGGACCCGACAACATACCAGCTGAAGCACTGAAATCAGACGTCGAAGTAACCACAAGCATGCTTTATCTTCTATTCAAAAAGATTTGGGAGGAGGAACAAGTGCTGATGGACTGGAAAGAAGGACACCTCATCAAGATTCCAAAGAAAGGAGATCTGAGCAAATGTGAAAACTACAGAGGCATAACACTACTGTCAATACCAGGGAAAGTCTTCAACAGAGTGTTGCTGAACCGGATGAAGGATGCAGTAGATGCCCAACTTCGAGATCAGCAAGCTGGATTCCGAAAGGATCGGTCGTGCACAGACCAAATTGCAACACTACGGATCATCGTCGAACAATCAGTTGAGTGGAACTCGTCACTATACATCAACTTCATTGATTATGAATAGGCATTCGACAGTGTAGATAGGAGGACATTATGGAAACTTTTTCGACACTACGGAATTCCTGAGAAGATTGTCAATATTATCCGGAACTCATACGACGGACTACAGTGCAAAGTAGTGCATGGAGGACAGCTGACGGATGCATTCCAAGTAAGGACCGGAGTCAGACAAGGCTGTTTACTCTCTCCCTTCCTCTTTCTTCTGGTGGTCGACTGGATTATGAAGACCTCAACATCTGAAGGAAAACACGGAATACAATGGACAGCTCAGAATCAATTAGACGATCTGGACTTCGCAGATGACCTAGCCCTCCTATCACGTACACACGAACAGATGCAGATGTAAACAGCCAGTGTAGCAGCAGTCTCTGCATCAGTAGGCCTCAGCATACACAAAGGGAAAACTAAGGTCCTCAAATTCAAAGCGGAGAACAACAATCCAATCACCCTTGATGGCGAGACTCTGGAAGATGTAGAATCCTTCACATACCTGGGAAGCATCATCGATGAACAAGGAGGCTCAGATGCAGACGTAAAGGCGAGGATCGGCAAAGCAAGGGTCGCATTCCTACAATTGAAGAACATATGGAACTCAAAACAACTTTCAACCAATATCAAAGTGAGAATCTTCAATACGAATGTCAAGGCAATTCTACTGTATGGAGCTGAAACTTGGAGAACTACAACAACCACAATCAAGAAAGTACAAGTATTTATAAATAGCTGTCTACGCAAGATACTCAACATCCATTGGCAGGATACCATCAGCAATAGCCTTCTGTGGGGGAGAACAAACCAACTTCCAGCTGAAGAGGAAATTAGGAAAAGACGATGGAAATGGATAGGACATACATTACGCAAATCGTCAAACTGCATCACGAGGCAAGCTCTAACTTGGAATCCTGAAGGGAAGCGGAAAAGAGGAAGGCCAAAGAACACATTACGTCGGATAATAGAAGCAGATATGAAAAGGATGAATTACAACTGGACGGAGCTAGAAAGGATTGCCCAGGACAGGGTTAGATGGAGAACGCTGGTGAGCGGCCTATGCTCCTTCACGAGGAGTAACAGGCGTAAGTAAGTAAGTAAGTAAGTAATAATGGTTAGTGAATAAATATGATATAAAATAAAGGTTTATAATAAAATAAAGCTAAATAATAGGAATAAATTCATATGTGAAGGGTTTTTGTAGATATTATAGTAGTTTCAGTAGTTGAGATCGTAAGTCAGTTGAGGCTAGACCACCATAGAAAACCCGGAAGCAGTGGACGGCTGTTTCGTCCTGTCGTGGGACTCCTCAGCATCAACGACCTTGTCTCGCGAGGTCGCCGAGCGAACGCTTAACCTCTAGACCACTGAGCCGGCATCAAACGGTGTAAATATCTAACTTCAACCAATCCATGAAATTGCACCACCGCCCACCATTGTGTTCAGTGAGTTATTATCTCACAACAAACGAAGGTTGAACTCCACTGGGGATCGTGGATGCCCACCGCTTAGGAATCCCACAATAGGACGAAATGGCCGTCCTATGCTTACAGGTTTTCGATGATGGTCCAACTTCAACTGACTCATGATCTCAACTATTAAGATTCATATCTGTTTAAAGAATGCTATCTCAATTAAAATAGTTTGTAATCTTTCCCAAAAATTACACAGTATTGGTTGTATATTAAAAAAAACGTATAATTATACTGTACATTATTAGCTAACACTTTATTATAAGAACATATTATGAATAACAATTAGAACCATATTTATCAATCAAAAGTCAAGTATGAAAATATCCGAATATTTCGAAATTCTGCTGTAAAAACAAGTTGAAACTGGTTTCCTACATAAAAGTCGAGTTTCTTTAACTAATGGAAATAGATCATATGAACACAAAGAGTTTTCCTTATTTATAAACATGTTTTTAAATACATCCAAGTATGGGATGGAGAGAGAGCGTATAAGAATTGAAGATTCATCATTCCAATATTTATATAACATTGAAATGAGACTAAAAGCTTAGATATGAGTTTCATGATTGTGTCACTAAACTCCATGACAGGTAATTATGAATATGATAAGTTTACCTCTGATTCTGCCCCTACTCATGTTTTCAATTTTATTTGTTATTTGATAAAAGTATTTGTCCGATGAGATTACCTTACATAGCCTTATGTTAAACTTGTTTAGAAAACTCTCGTACATTTAATGGCCCTAAATCCAACTTCAATTTAGAGCTGAACGCGTTTGTTGGTTAAACTCCTATTTTCGAACAACAGGAAGCGTATCACAATCATACGATTTTGAGATGTTAGTTTCGTTCTTTGAAGTGAATGGTAAGTCTTATCATATGGTTCACTAACACTAGAAAGTTCAAACATATGTGATTAATTTTCCATAAAATTGCTACGTATTTACCATAAAGTTTACTAAGCAGGATTGTTGATGAAAAAGATTTAATTGTTTCTTAAGTCACTTCAACAACTTTCTAGATAGCGTATTATGTAGAGTTCTAATAATTACGAATGATCACACAATACCACAAAATCCGCACAAATCGAAATATTTATTTGGTAGGTGGATTGAATAAATTATTATCAGAATGGGGTTTTTGTTGAGATTGTGGTAATTTAATAGTTAAGTTCATAAGTCAATTAAAGCTAGACCACTATGGAAAACTTGGGAGCACTCGACGGCCATTTCTTCTTAGAAAATACTGTGGTACTTTGAAACGCTAAGTATTTCTATCGCGGTGGATTTTAGCAACATTTAGGTATCAACATTTCTCCAGTAATATAATGGATATGGAAT